GAAAGGTAATTTTTTTTAATGTACAAGATCATAATGAGTAATTTGGAATCCAACCTATATGTATATAAGACATGAAGACAGATTAACAGATATTACTGTGGATGCACCAGAGCAAACAACATTTAATCCTCTGATTTCTCGTGTTGATTTATCCATGATTGATGGTCAGCAATTAATAATTAATGTATTTATTATTATTATTGTTTTCAAACCGTCATTCAAGTGCATAATAACCAAAAACAAAATACAAATAAACAAAAACTCACCACATAGCACGTCTGAAAATGTAGAAAAAGAAGAGGAAATACTCAACAACAACAAAAATACACACACGCGCGCACGTACGCATATACATACACACAGAACTGAATTTAGAACATTCGACCAAAAATTATTCACACACACATATACATACAAGCACAAGCGCATACAAACAGACAAACTAGACAATAAACATTATACAAAACAAGGTGGCAGCATTATTATGATTACACACAGATAAAAGAAAAATAAGTCTGAGACATTCGTTGACAAAGACAACAACATTTCTGGCGGACAGACAAACAGACAGAAATAGATGGATATAAATTGTTTATCTGATTCGGCAAACAACTGGACAAAGCAAATTTGAATTAACTGGGATAATTATGAACAGAAAGTTTTAGAAAACTGCATTCTGTGAATAGTGTAAAAGATGTAGAAAAATTCAGCGGTGTTATTGATTGTGTTTTTAGTATCCTAATTCAAAGTGAAAAGATTCGGACCCACTTGCATGTGTTTTTTTTGTTTCAAAAAGAATCGTTGTTATTATCGTTGACGACTTTTAAGGCTGTGTATTCAAAAAGTACAATTTCATCTTCATTTTTATCTGTAAGGAATTTTGTGCATTTTGATGTATGTGTAATGAAAGTCATATTTAAGGAGCAAGTAAATAAAAACCAGGAAAGAAATTGAGTTCAAAAATTAAAACTTACAATGAGATAAGATAAACACAGAGGTCGATGACCGGGATTTTTCAATATAAACATATGACTGAACGATGACTGTGTAAAGTAGGATGGGACGGTAAACAGATGCATAATCGTAAGGTTACAACTGAAAATGACAATTAGACAATATAGTAATCATCATCATTGTCCTAACAATAGTACTTCATGAAAACAGGGATTAAAGAGATAGAAAGACTGATTTTTTTCGTATAACCATAACTTTCCACATAGCACTGTACACATGCATATATATATAAATGACTTGTAAGTTGTACTGATCTTACATAAAAAAGCAACGATTAAACGTCACAAGGGAAATATTATAACACACTATAAAATTTCTGGGTATTTATTTACTCAGGCTACTATCCATTACTGTCAATGGCTAGGTAACCTGAGCGAAATAAAATTGGAGAATTAAACTAGAAGACAATACAACCAAATTGGCAACTTAGTCACGAGAACGAGAGAGGTGTGAATGGGTAAATAGACAAATTAACATAAAAAAATTATATTATGCGACAACACCGACAATAACGACGTCGTCTTGCAAAAGTCAATGCAGGCGGAGTACCAGGAGCGAAATAGGCATGAATTTGAAGTTGAGGATAATGTAACTATAAAATTAGGAATAAAAAATATAAACAATTAGTTGATTAAAGATAAAAATCACTTCATTATTACGATTGAAATTGTACGCAAATGTATTCGCAACTTATCGCTGACCAATTAAAGAACCAATACAGTAAATTATACTTGCATTTACTGGCTTAAGTCATGGACTAAATCAATCATCATTGAAATAGACCTAGGCACAAATGTGTGTTGGTTCAAATCACCATACCATGATTACTTAGACGAAGTGGAATTATTAAGAAAAATAACAAAACAGACAGAACCAATGTAGTGGAAGTGAAAATGATCAAAAACCTACAACCTAAATATGTTTTCTGTTTAAAATGGCTATATATCAAAACCATAAAGAGTACTGATGCATGGTATATACATTTTGGATGGTCAGAAGGACACCTCACCTACGTCACAAGCGATGTAAATTCATAGAAGGGAAATGCACTTTCTGAATCCGTACTGATATTTCACCAGAATTGATTAGACTTTCAAGAAAATTGTAATGATCAATGCACTGAACTACGTAATTACATTAAAATCCATGCACCCAAGCATAAGTATAAAAGTTCTATAATGCCTTACCTAGCAAATATACTCTGTGACGAACAGGTTATTAGAGTCAACCCATTCAACAACCTGTATTCATAAACATGTCTCTAATTTGAAAAGTTGTATTTTCAGACTTTTATTCAACTTTTTCCTTTCTTTTTTTGTTTTTTTTTCGTAAAAGAAACTTGTTGAAATACCTCGTGCTGAAAATTCTATATTGTACCAAAATATAATATTGAATAAAGTCATTAATTAATTAACCACTTTACTAGCTATCACTTATTCAGGTATTAACCCAGAATAATCCCTGAAACAATATTTTGCATTTAAAAGAGAAACACATCCCAAATATGTTAGCATTGTTCTAAAAGATTATCGACGGATTTTAGTTAGACAGCTATTCCATTGTCCCCAATTGTGTTCCCGTTCACTACAAAGTGATACAGGGAGTCGGCAGAAAGACCTAAATTCAGGTTTTTTGTCAACTGATATTTGATACCAAGCTGTGATTTGATCCAACAATTATATTCAGAAACACTACAACTGAATTATTCCAGTCGCGACTAACTTTTAGAACTGAGAGACACTTCAACAGAAATAATTCATTGTTTATCTAGTCCGTACTGCTTTTCCATTAACACGAATCAAGTTACAATATGGACACTCTCCTAAGTGATTTGACATCACCTATGTTTACGGGGCTTTATGATGTGTGCCTCTAAACAACTCACATCAAAAAGTTGTGCAAGGGATGTTGAGTCATCTCGACTAGTGGAAAAATATAATTTGGTTGGAGTAATTTTATTAACCGATTTGTTAGTTAATATAAAACTACAGAAAGTCTTCATCAAAGGCGAAAATCGTTCATTAAGTACGTCATTAGCACATCTTCCATCAATCGTCACTTACAAACTTTATCGTTCCTTCATTCATGATGCTATTACGATTACTCTTTTTACATTCCTGTTCTCTTTAATTGGATCTTCTCAACGTTCCGCTGCCAGGCATTCCACTTCTGATTAGTGCTATATGTTACTTATATCTGTCGACATTTATAAATATGTCTCAATGAAATACAGAATTTAAACGAAATGTTTTCAAACAGTTCAATCACATGTCATTTTCTGCTGGATTATTGACATTTCAAAATAATCATTAAGTAAACAACTCCAAATTTGTTGAAGAGATCACGAGTAAGAAAATTTCAATCAAATTCATGTATTCAAAACTATATATAATATTGTCAACATTGTATTGCCATGATGACCTCAGGTTTTAATAGTTAGTTGCGTGATATCACATTTCAAGCTGTCAATTAAAACTGAGTTCTTCGTGTGTTTTTTGTCCAGTCTTGATTTGATATTTATCCTTTGAATCAATCTATTTTGTAACTGGTATCACATATCTTACGACATCAGTTTTATATTTTTTAGGACTTGTGTTTTTATGTCTCATCTAGAAATAATCAATAATCTTAGCGATGTCTATAATCCTTCCAACTTGTGTAGTTTATACAATAGAATGACTTTAGATGGATAACTAGTGAGAATTAGCGACTACTGGAAAGTTATTTTATAGTTGTATGAGACTCCTTGACACTGGGTATCTACGAACTTTATATCTTGTACCAGGTGTTTAACCTTCAAACCACTGAGTCAATATCCAATGATTTATATTTCTTAAAAACAGTCAATTTACGATGTTGCGCAACCATCATTCATTTATATCACTGTTACTTAGTCTAGGGTCGATATGGTTGAATTACACTGGTTACGATTTTACATTAAAATTACTTCGCGAAATTAATCATTAATGAGTACATTGGTTCATTTATTTTAACACAGACATTAGTACAAAGAGGCACCAAATACATATGGGCCACACAAATCTCATTCGACATGTGTGAGGGCTGTGATACTGCCCGGGTGCCCAAACCGAAGCAGGTGGTTTTATTAAAGGGCCACACTCGGAGCCTTCGACCTGAAGGTCTGATCCACAAGGCAGCAGAGCAACGTAAGGAGATGAATTCCTATGGTAGCCGGTGACCAACGATTGGTTCACACACCATTTGTTCCCGCAGGATACTGGAGCCTATGTACACCATTGGTGTGGAATCAGAGTTCCCCAACTCCCCTAGGTGGACTCTCCATGTCGACCAACCCGGTTAAAGTACCGGACATTCGCTTTTCGTCCTCTCATTTTCGTAAACAACACCCCCGCCACGAGAAGGCAGTGAGTAGGTTAATATTGATTTTTTATATGAAAAATCCACCTCTAGGTCAATATTAAATTTAATAAAGATTGTAAATTGGATAAAACAAACAATCCATATATTGTTATTAGTGATAATTAATACACACATGTTTTTTTAAGGTTGTAAACAGTTTCGAAACAAGTCTATGAGGAGGAAAAATAGAAATTATCTTGTTTTTTCCCCAATTTCTATTCGTGGTTTGTTGACATTTAAATCAAGATAATAATGCTCTTAGCAAAGCAATTACTGTTATGACTAAAAATTCACTGGTTTTTTCTACAATATTTTAAAGTAGACACTCAGTAATTTACATTAATTTGCTTAATACTATCACTTAAGAACTTGTTATATTTATATATTTAAGATATAGTACGGGCTTATGAATACTTTTGAAATTAAGAACGATTGCACTACTTCTCATACAATCAGTTTTTGTGTGCAAATTGAAAACAACAATTATCACACAACATTTAGAATATTTGGTCGTTAAAACGAAGAAAAAATATATTCTAGGAAAACATCATATTCTAAGTAGAACAATCACAACAAAAATGATATGAAATGTGTTATACAACGGTAATCAATTCATTTGTTAGGTACACATTGATGTAGTTGGCTTCGAGCTACACTTTATGTATGACGTTTGTAATGAAATCTAGTTTTTCAAGCCAAACGTGGCTGAAAATCGGATGCCTTAAGTATTGAACCATTATCATTAGACTAGGTTATACTGTTAGCTAGTAAAGAATCGGAAAGTTTTTATCAAAATGTTAAGTAAAAATAAATGAAACGAATATTAGTGATAGTCAAATTTATGAAGTGACTATCTTTTTAAAAAAAGCACACCCCTACATTAGATAGAGGCTGAAATATAAACATGATAATGTATTACATTTTCTAGATCCTATCACTAGGTGCAATAAAATGGCTGGTTAGAAACATATATTTATCAAAAGGAAATATGAAAAAGTCTATACTTGAACTTCAAAAACTTCTGTTCAATAAATCACAAAAAGCTTTAGTTAGAACGCTATTCAACTGTCGAAGATTATAGTCAGAAAATAAAAGTGCAGTGTTTGACTGTAGTTGAACGGTTATCCGCAAAAGTCCATAAATAACAAAGTTTGGAAAACCTAGAATGAAGGAAATGTAGTACGTTATGATGGAGAAAAAGCCTATCGTAAGACTTCAACTCAAACGTGAAGCAATTGAAGAGATTGGTTTTAGATTAAAAGACATAAAAAAGGAGACGTCCATTTACTTGGTTGATCTCTCTGTATCGAATGAAATCTTAATTGTGATAGTCAAATACACACAAATCCTCGCATTATGTCAACTCCAATATATATGTGAAATACATGTACTTCGAAAGAACAGAAGGGAGGGTTAGTGTTTATATATTTCGGCACATTTCGCAGCAGCAGAGATTAAAAGGACAGTATGAAATCGCTATAAAATGGACAGGTTCGATGGAACTAGACGATTCGAACTCCACAGGTGACCTGGCCATCCTATTCTATATACACTAAAACATGCAGGCCGAGACCACTGAAGCAGCAGCCTCTGCACCAGTAGGCCCCAACATACACAAGGGAAAAAGCAAGATCCTCAAATACAACACTGAAAGCACCAACCCAATCACACTTGATGGAGAATCTCTGGAAGAGATGGAAACTTTCACGTATCTGGACGGCATCATCGATGAACAAGGAGGATCTGATGCAGATGTGAGGGCGAGGACAGCATTTGTCAAGTCGAAGAACATATGGAATTCAAAACAACCGACAACCAATATCCAAGTCACAATCTTCAATATGAACGTCAAAACAGTTCTACTGTGCGAAACTGAAACCTGGATAACAACCTTATAACCATCTTCAGAAACGTACTAGTATTTCTAAACAGTTGTCTACACAGGATACTTGATGTCCGTTGGTCGGATACCATTAGCAACAGCATACTATGGGAGAGAACACACCAGCTTCCAATTGAAGAGGAAATTAAGAAAAGACGTTGGAAGTGGATAGGACACACATTTAGGAAATCATCAAACTGCATGAAGAGGTGAGCGCTGACTTGGAATCCTGAAGGGAAACAGAGAAGACCAAGGAACATACTGTACCGGAAATCGGAAGTAGACACCAAAAGGACGAATAACAACTGGGAAGAACTGAAAAGAATTGTTCAGGATAGAGTTGGATTGATAATGGTAGTGAGCTGTATATGCTGATCGATGAGGGGCAACAGGCATATTTAAGTAATACAATCGCTAGTCATAGGCTTGACAACGGACATAATGCTGATATTTTAAAATCTTTCAAGATAAGAAAATTTCTCCTAGACACAGAAAGATTTAATAAGATAAATTCCGTTAGCTTCATTCATAACTTACTCGGGAAACTAAATGGCATACAATAAATCACTTGAAAAGCTGGCGCGATTATACTTTACGGACGACCTTTGAACGACACTAAAGTGAACTTGAATAATTTTAACCACTTACTGGGGTCAAAATATAGCTATACACTAGTTTAAGAATTTAAGATGAAGAGACAAAGTTAAGAGTCAGGGTTGGGAATTACAGTCAGAGTTTTTATCACGAACTTATATTAGCTATCATTGTCAAAATGCTATTAATCCGCATGGATAAATGAATTTCGTGCATAAATTGTAGCCCAGATGTGAAAAGTTTTGTTCAAGTCAACTTAATATCTAGTATCATATGCTGAACATTTTATTAAAACGCCATTGAATCTGTTGCACAGGAACAGATGAAATTTGACATTACCTTCATTTAAAACATCTATATTTATTTAAATATTCATTATAGTGAAGAATTTTACTTCAAAATTAATGGAATTAAATGTTGAAATATACTTTACAAAAAACTTGGGTTTATACATTCTAATAATTAATTATTGATAATGATAATAATAATAATAATAATAATAATAATAATAATAATAATAATAATAATAATAATATGATTCTTTTCTAAATTAATACTGTCAAAAAGTGTTCTAAAATGCAATGATTCCAGGAATCATTGGAAATATGGATCTTGATCGTAATTAACTCTACTGCCAAATGTTCAGCACAGAAATTAAGGCAAGCCTTCCAAAAGGTAACTAATACATATCGAAATATCTTGGTCCAAATAAAAGACAAAATACCATATCAACTTAGAAGTTTATAGATTAGGTTGTTTATCAAATATTTGATAGATTTTATAGTAGATTACATTTTGGGATATCATAGTTCGTGCCGGAGAGAATACATGAAATACAAAAAGGACTTGTTATTCCTGTAGAACTTGGAAATGTAAAAGTCAAATCACCAAGATCAATGCATGACACATAGTTGACAGTCATTTAGTCAGTATTAAAATGTTTTCTATAATTTCTTTAAAAAAAACATAACTTTTCCAACTAAAATATCATTGTCATATGTTGTTAAATACTGCTTTGAGCAATAGGAAAAAGGATTCAATCGACAATTTAATCAAATTAGATAATGTATCCAGATCCACATTTGACCTGTTTCAGTTCAGACACCACACCTATCTATCTAGAGAAAGTCCTACTCACTGCCTTCTCGTGGCGGGGGTGTTGTTTACGAAAATGAGAGGACGAAAAGCGAATGTCCGACGCTTTAACCGGGTCCCAAACCAAATCAATGGGGTGCACATGGGCTCCAGTATCCTGTGGGAACAAATGGCGTATGAACCAATTTTCGGTCACCAGCTACCATGGGACTGCATCTTCTCACGATGCTTCACTGCCTTGTGGGTTAGACCAAAGACTCGGGGTGTGGCCCCCTAAGATAACCACCTGCTTCGGTTTGGGCACCCGGGCAGTATCGCGGCCCACACACAATTAATGAACTGAACTGTCTATTATCATGCAAATTGATTCTCTTGCTTCGACGAACATTCAAATGATTCAATTATTATTATTATTATTATTAGTTACTACGTCATTATTCACCCTCCTTTATTCCTACTGTGTCTATACTTTTTTTTAGACTTATACAGCAGCTCGCCTATGGTGGAAACTCGGTTCTGTCTAAACGTTCTCGAGTCACTGTCTGGTTGAAAATTGTATGTTACCACCGAATACGAATACTGAAGCTGTTTTTCTGAAACCACGTGCGCCATTCAAACTGGCTGCCTTCAACGTTCGCACACTTATGCAGGTCGGACAATAGATAGGGCTGGCTGGTTAGACAGGGTTGCCCAATCTCACCATTCCTCTTCAACTTTGCCATCGATGACATTCTGGAAACAGCTCTGATGAATGTAAGTAATGGTGGTGTGGATCTGTTGCCTGGAGAAAGACTTCTCGACCTTGAGTATGCGGACGATATTGTCTTACTGTGCGATAATGCCCAAGGCATGCAATCCGCACTTAATCAGTTGGCAATCAGTGTCCGTAGGTATGCTATGTGCTTTGCACCTTCGAAGTGCAAAGTACTTCTACAAGACTGGCAGGATTCCAATCCTGTACTCACCCTGGATGGTGAGCAGATAGAAGTAGTCGAGATGTTCGTGTATCTGGGTAGCTGCATAAGTGCTGGTGGGGGTGTGAGTGATGAGATCAATGCACGAATAGTGAAAGCCAGAGTGGCTTATTCCTATCTGAGCCACCTTTGGCGCCTTCGTGATGTTAGTCTGGCTGTAAAAGGTCGGATTTACAACGCGTCGGTGAGAGCAGTTCTGCTCTATGCTTGTGAAACCTGGTCTCTCCGAGTTGAGGACGTTAGACGACTCTCTGTGTTCGATCACCGCTGTCTCCGAAGGATTGCTGGCATTCAATGGCAACACCATGTCAGTAATGCAGAGGTTCGGCATCGTGTGTTCGGGCACAGAGACGATAATTCAATTGGTGTCACCATCTTGAAACACCGACTTCGGTGGCTTGGACATGTTCTCCGAATGTCGTCTCAGAGAATTCCACGTCGTGCATTATTTGCCGACTCTGGGACTGGTTGGAAGAAGCGGAGAGGTGGTCAGTGCATGACATGGTGTCGTGGGATGAAAGAAAGCTGCAAAGGACTGGCTTGTGTTGGTCCTTCACGACTCCCTGGTTGGGGTCTGAGAGATGGTGCTACACAGTGGCTAGAAACGTTATCAGATATGGCTCAGAATAGAAGCCAGTGGCGATCCTGCTGTAACCTTCTTTTACTTTCTTCATAAAACGTGGTTGTGTCTCCCTTACCTGAAAGATTTCTTCTGATTGTACCCTTCTGTTCCCCTACTATTACTATTATTATCATTACACTACCTTACACCAATCTCTTTGTCATTGTTTTCTTATTTATTATTTTTTTAATGTTCCTCACTTTTTTTCTTCTTAAATTCTCATTTTGTGCGGCGCATATATGTTCGGTGCACTCCTGTACCAATATATATGTGTTCAAATAAATAAATAAATAATTTAACTATTAACATATGAAAGCATGTTCTATACAGAATCAACTTTGACCTGAATAACAGCATAAGAGTAGCGTATGATCGGGCTTGTTTTAATTTCAATTAAGTATTTAATCTGATTAATTCCTTGTGTAACACTGAAACATGTAATAATATGAAAAACCTAGTTATTTTCTGAAGAACTGACTTAATCACAAACCGAAAAATATCGGAAAAAAACTTTTCGATGCACTCTGATATTCATTATAAAATATCTAATTTTAATTACCATAAAAAGTAATTCGTATAGAGGGATTTACAGAAATGGTATAATTTTCTATAATTTAAATAACGAACTAGACCACCACTGAAAAATGGAAGCACTGGATAGTCAATGCATCTTGGTATGGGACTCCTCAGTGGTTCCCATACACGACCTCGTAGGGGATCGAACCCAAAACTTTCAGTCTCAGGCGCGAACGCCCAACTTAAAGACCAATGAGTCGTCATTCAATGGTGTACATGTCTAATTTTAATCAATTTTTATGATATCACGTAGTTATCTGCCATTTTCGGAAGCGAACGACTGTCTTACACTCGACACAGTTGAACTGTACTGGTCGCAGCTTTTCACCAGAACTCCAGGAGTCGAATCTTGGAGCTATTCACTAGTTGAATGCATTATTACTAGTAAAGGGGGAATTGTGGAGACTGTAGAAAGTTCAAATCACAAACTGATCTAGAGGCCAAGCGTTTGGGTGCAAAACTGGACTGTCCTGGGTTTGATGCCGGGGTACAGAGTCGTAGATATGCACTTCCAAGGAGTCTCATAATAGAACTAAATGCCCGTCTAATGTCACCAAGTTTTCAATGGTGGTTTAGCTAAGATCATTATATGATTTAAACTATGAAAATAATATAATTCTCATTAAAAGTACACAAATAAATTTATTCAAACATAAAAAAGCGTGAAGTCTGAAACATGATTGAACATCTGTTAATTGTCTTACCTCTAAACTGTTGATTCCTTGTTTCGTTATCAATTGACAATCGTATAAATCCAACTGTCGAAGTTTACGGCAATTACTGCCCAGATGTTCTAAAGCAGCATCTGTTAACAATGGACAATTATCCATAGCTAATGTTTGAAGTTGGTCAGGACCACAAAGACCTTCAGCTAGACGTGCAATACCTTCATCAGTCACTTGATCACAATGTGATAATACTAGTGTATTTAAACGTGGACAATGTACAGCTAATTGAGCTAAAGTTGAATCAGTCACTAACGCACAGTCTTCTAGATCCAACTTTTCAAGCTGTTCAAAACAGAAGACAACAACAAACAACCATTAGTAGTAGCAATGGTGAGTAAGAAATTATAGTTGACTAAATATTTTAAAACAGAAAAAATTATTGCTGTATCTCCTTAACATAATTACTTTTGCATTAATAGTACTCGTAACTAAAAATACTGAAATTAGATATTATATATCAAATAATGTGACAATGGTATGAAGATATTAAAGTATAGTGATAAATATAGGAATCCGCCGCCCGGAACTACCGAGACTACATTTTAGTTCTGAGAACTTATCAGTCAGTCAGCTACAACGTAGAACTTGTCGAATTTTATCGGATAAAACTAAATAGTAGTTTTACTAATGTAAGCAGTTGGGGAACACAATAACTTTCCCGGTTAAAACAGAAGCCTTATGATCACGAAGGGATCACCTATTTATTCGATTTTGTACAGACCTTCATGGAATCATAGTTAGAACTCGTGACTACTCATTGTTTGGAAGTCGAATACTTGACTCAATTATGAATACAACTTTCAAACCAAAATACAAGTAGAGGAGGTAAGTGTATACAACATACACAAACTCCATTAAACGGAGCTGCTATGTTTGAAGAGATTACGAGATCGCCTAAATCGACGAACGGAACGAAGACACAGCAACACTATGACAAGACGGCTAAATTATTCAAATGCGTCCCAGCCCCGCTAACTGGAAGAAGATATCCAGGTTCACATAAGGGAAAGTGCATTCCACAAGCAGCCACAATCACAACTCAAGCGTAAATATACAGCATAAAAATGCCCTTGGGAAACGTCACAAAATAATAACATTTAGAGTCCTTCTCAGTGTAAAATAAAATCTGAATGTAAAAATGGGCGCTTTTGGCGCAAAAACAAGAAATTCAAATTTAAAAATAAGACGTTTCCAGGTAAGTTCTGGGGATCTAGCATACCTAACACGAGCACAGGAAATCCCAGTAATGAAAATTAACACAAAACTTTGTCACAATATGGAAGTGATTAGGAATACAAAAATGTTAATATAATCGTTTGTACCATAAATCAATTATTTACTTCGAATCTAACACCCCCTATTTTTGAAGGTCCAAATCCATAAAATTTTTAAGGATTCAACTCAAAACCTTCAAATTTCCCATAGAGTAATGCGTAGTCTTTAAATTTACTAATTTGACCCAAATGATTGAGACTAATTGAAAAGCAGATTATTAATTCTCAGAATTATGAAACATTGACAATACCTACATACACACCACTACCACTGTACAAAATCCTGTTTTAAACGAATATATCCATAGTTTCATTAATAATAAATAAGCAAATTTATTTCAGATTAAATTTAGTATTCTTCATACACATAGTTCCATTCATTATCTTAAAGAGAACAAGAACGAAGACTGCACAAATCTTCTTTCTTGCTCTCTTAACGATAATAAAGGGAACTATGTGTATGGAATTTCTCAAAATGCGTCTCTCTGCACAGTCATTCAAGTCACTGAATCACCTGGTGACAATACGCTGCAGAACATCGAGAGGAATGACTCGACTTAAATTTCTTGATGAATGTCTCAAATCATGCCGTTTCCCACGTCAACTCTCAAAATCTTTCAGTCAGTCAGTCAGCTACAACGTAGGACCAGGCACATATATACATCGGTCCAAGTTGCCATGCCTCATCAGCACAGCAAGATGGACACCGGATTCATAGGAGTGGTTAAGTCAATGGTGGTAATATATAAAAGAAAGATTGCATGTAAGGACACAGTACAGGCAGAAAAAATTAGTTCGTAGAAAGATATGAAGCGATTTTATTCTCCCAGTTTGAAGGAAGACAGAGAGTGCATACACCGACGCCATTGTGATCGATTCTGAGCCATATCACCCGGAGTCTCCAATCATTGGTTACGATAGTCACGCGGACCCCAAACAAGTAGTCTGCATCTAACAACATGGCTCAGTTAGTGACTTCAATGACTGATACTCGTGTAAACTCCTGCCTTCTCTCAAAAATCTTCCGCGCATCACAAAATCTCACATACAGTCAACAAAATTATTGGTTGAAAGTTTGAGGGCAGAAATTAATGTCTTTGATGAACTAGTCAACGATCTAATTATCGTATGTCGCATAAAATTTATTAACTTTATCCAAGGTCTGTAAAGCAAAATATGCAAGAATTTCAATGTAAATTTGTCAAAGACACTGTCAAAGGAACACTTATGCTTTGGTTTTCCGGAAAACCCCGAAGAAATTTCTCGATAATCTATCAACAGTGAAGCTAAATCAAATCGAAACAGAAGCTTTGTCGCTTGGATTTAAATTTCATATCCAAAAAATACATGTCGATAGAATCGACACAGAAACTCGATTTGAGAATTTATTTGATCAAATTAAAGAATTGCACTCAGTTAGTGAAGAGAAGAAAGGCTGGTTTAAATCTAAACTGGTTGATATCGCAAACTAATATCTCGTTTCAACCACACCCCAGTCTAAGCTTTTATCCAAAGATCACCTAACAACATTACGAAATATTAAGCGAAATGATCATATAATGATATTACGGTCAGATAAGGGTTCAAGTATTGTTCTAATGAACACGACGGATTATGTCTCTAAGATGAAGTCCATTTTGAGTGACCACATGAGATTCAAGTTAGATAAAAGTAACAAGGACTTAACTGATTCCACTGAGAAAAAACTGCACCAATCTTCGCTCTTGCTCTCTGTTGGGATATTCAGGAAAATATCCCAAAAATTATCCTGTTAAGCCTAGTGCTATCCTTGGACATGAAATAGTATCATCTTATTGGTCAGTATTTATTTAACGTGTCATTTTCCTACTGGCCATTGTTGTACAATGTTATCTTCTATTTTATGGTACGTTGTGGACTGCTTGAATGGTATATAAACAAGTATGTTTGAAATATAATGATTCATATATACGAGGCTGAAACTTGTGTTCTGGACTCAACTGGCTGGGTTAGGCAGGGAAGCGAGGCCAATCAGAACCCTAGGTCGTTCTACGTGTTTGTGCGTCTTTGGTCCGATCAATAATTCGCTATCCCTTCAGCAGCATCATTTTTCACGTTATAACACTCTCTTTAGTATTTTTAATGATACATTTAATGTTTTATTCCACAAATGTTAAAGTTGTAGGTTAAGGTAGATAAATTAATTCACTTTTAATCAATGAACTGTACATGAGTTCAAAACACACTGTACCTATTTCAATTTTGACAACAAAATAGTACAGTACTAAATCCTTAAGCAGAAAATATGTGGTTCAAAGCTGAGCACATGAATCTTTACTTCTTTTCAAAACAAAAACAATCAAATAATAATAATCACATTTTAAATACAAATTGTGTTGAACGTATCATATGTGAATGGATGTAATAGGGTAGAAGTGGCGTGAAACAAATAACACCAAAAAATAGGTTATAAATTTGATTATAGTTAAACTTTGTAGTATATATCTCTTTTTTTAATATTAATAATTAGATTAATTATTACCATTTCTATCGTATAAGGTAAGTATATGAGAGATAAAAGTTGATTGTTTTATTTTAAATAAAACACTAGTCACTGACATAATAATCAATGAATATTAGTTGGACTTTTCTTCGGAAAGAAATTATAGTTTAGACATATGTTACGTAAGCCTAATCCACTGTCTACGTTGACAGATGAAATAAACCGGTGTAGGAATAGTTTAAACGAAAACTAAAGATGTTCAAATCAAAATGTGATGTAGGTTTATGAAATTATTAACTGATGAAATAAACCAAGTTGGTAAGCGCTAACTACATGATTGAAATTCGCGCATTAACTATGATCAATGGTTGGAGATGTTGGACTAAAAATGACTCAGAATCGGTAACAATGGCTCAGATGTATTCACTTTTTATCTTACTCAAGATATTGGTTCCTAGTATCTCTTTATATACATCTTTTCACTACATATTCTCAATATTTAGTCTCTTCTAACAATATTGTTACTGCACTGTTTTAACTCCTTTGCTACTCATCGTAATTCTTTCTCATTGTGCCGATGCATTATGACAACTTGGACTGGACACATTTGTAGTGACCTACTTTTACCAAGAGAACGCGATTGGTTTAATGGAAACAATCATTATTATAACCAATTGTACCAGTGATTGTTTTACTGTGCTCGTTTGCTTAACTGGGCTAAAGACAGCCATATTACTACTCCATTACTTTCCTGTGGACAGTGACCTTGTACGCTTATACTCTCGCCCACTAATTCCGCTTGTATTTCTTTTAGCACGATCTCGGTATTGGTTCGATACCACGAGATCGCCAACGAAATAAATCTGGTTACGCTCCATCTTCGTCTTCTGGTTTCTCTGGTACGCGCTTCCTTGTAGTGGTGTTCATAGTCAATCGCGACTCGACACCACGCTACACATTTACGCCAGGCTCTATGCTGATTATTGTCATATCCGAGCGAAGACTAAATCATGAGTAACTTCTGAGACATATTAATTGACTAATATTATCTATACATTCTGATGGTATAACTATTCAATAATTAGATTATGTATATTTATATTCCTCTTATTATAAGCTTCATTTTGATCTATAATTTATTATTATACAATTTACTGTTCGTAAGCTATGTTTAGCTTATTGACTACTGCTTCGCACGTTCACAGTCACTTTTTTGTCCATAAATGTTATTTCCTATTTTATAGTGCGTTGCGGTTTGCTTAGTTGATATATAAACCCAGTATGTCTGAAATAAATGATTCAATTCGATTCGCATAGTGGGAGCTGGTATTGGTGTTCTGGACTCAAGTGGACAGGCTAGTCAGACACAGGACCAGTAAGAACGCTAGGCTTCCCATACCGGTCGAACGTCATTGGTTTGGCACAGTGCTAAGATCGTATAAGTCGTATTTTGATTGGTGGATAAATCACGTGATAACTAGCCGGACATAAAAACATAACAATTATGACTGATTAACAATTATAAGTTATACATCAAAGACAACTTACTTTATTGCAAACACGTGCGATTGCCGATAGGCCAATATCTGTGATAGCTGAACAACGAGCCACTTCTAAAGTTGTTAAGCTAACACATCCAACTGGAATCAATGTTATCTTATTAGAATCATTAGTTTTTTGGCGTCGATTATTATCTCGATCTCCATGATTATTAACATTACCGTTTGGTGATGAAGCATCTTGATTATTAACGCTTCCATTGCTTGTTACTACCGGAAGAATTAAAGGGACCCCATTTTGCTGACTGGTAGATGTAGCTTGTCCAACGATAGCTGCTGCTGCAGCTGGCGATAATGTGCCAGCAATTGCACGAAGACCTTGATCAGTTATTGAACAATGTGATATAGCTAGTACACGTAGATCAGGACAACCAATGGAAAGATGAACCATAGCTTCATCTGTGACACCCTATATAAATTTGAAACAAAAATGACAACATATAAAATGTATAAATGACATTACAAGTCTACAGTTAGTGTAATGTATACTTATCTTCGAAATATGATATTCCTGAGAAAGTAAGACCAAAACAGATTGATTAGATTTCAGTCCTGAATATCAACTACGAAATAACTCAAGCCATTTTTAATAATGGCACAAACATCGTACCCGTTAAACTAATTAGTGTTCATTTAGACTCATCAGATCGGTGAATATATTAGCTTTTTAAGTGAAAGGTACTAGATTCGAGGTTCAATGCAGGACATCTAACTGACGAGTACCAAAGAGGACAAAACTTGCACTATGAACTTCACTGGCAGTTACAGTCTAGCTATATTACGAAACTTTCAATAAAACTCGTTTTGGATTTTGAGATGTTCTCGAATGCAAAAGAAGACACAAAGCAGAGCCTGTACTATTGTGGTGTGCTTCTTGTTTGGATAGATATTAGTATGTAGCAGTAATAGGAAGTGAAATGTTGAACAGCAGAAGATTGAAAAGAGAACAGGAAGGAAAATGAAGAGAAATCGGAATAACAACTGGATTGGATGATGAAGTATGTAAAGGACAATTGAAGGGAGATGTGCAAATGATGTATAATGTATGATTTCCATATTTAACAAAGGCAATGTGCGATTTCGCGTACAATGAATAGTTAATTTTCCTCATGTAGTCCTTTTTCATTACACTATGAAAGCACTATTGATGCTGTGTCACAGAAGCATTTTTCTCACAAGTGAAAAAATGAAGACGGAAGACCGGAATTATATTTTAAAGCAGAGACTTTAGAATACTGAAGTAAATAGACTTTATACCAATTTTCATAAGTAACTGACTGCTGTTCATTTCCATTTAAATATAAAATGTTGCTTCAGGACTGGTTCGCATCAACCTCAGAACTAGTAATAGGCAGTGAAGAGTTGATTGTGTTGACCACGTCACATATCAAAGAATTCTCATCATCTCTGGTGGGTTAGTTGGCTTTGCCAACTTGCGTTAATTGTGCAGTAGATGAGATATCCATCTGCTAACTAAAGGACGATTATATTGAGCACCAGTTCGCCCCTTTCTACTTTAAGTGATATGGCTCAGAATCATTCGTAATGACACAGGTGCACTAACCTTTTGTTCTGCCTTAGATCCTAAGTTTCGAGATTCCCCACAATTATTGTTTTCTTTTATTACATTGATCCTTCTTTTATTGAATCGTATCTTCAGTGTCTAGGCTTTTCTACCATCACTAGTACTGTTACTATTTCCTTAACAATTCTATCACACTATGATAATAGTGTACGGGAACTTAAATCGATACACACATGTACCACGTTCTACATTGCGTGTGACTGACTGTTATAAAGCATTTTTAATGTTACTAATACCAATGAAATAATCGATTTAAATGCTCTGAAGAATCCTAAAATACCACTTTTACTTTGATCAGTACAATAATATGAATATTAAAGCAAAGAAAAAATATAGTGGTAATAATCAAGCACAGCGAATCATAACAAAGATAGAATCTTTCGAAACTTTCCTACTTTTAACACATGACACAGTGTTCAGTACAAAGACGGGAAAACAAGATATAACATTTTCGCTTTAGTTCTGAAAAATATCTGAGAAATGTACTAGATACAGTTGAGCGTCATTTCTAATCGACTTAAAGATAACTTACATTACCCATAATATAGAGTTTGAATATTACATTTAACTATATCATTTAGGAAATTCTGACGATATTGTTTTGTATTGGAGGAAATATATGACAGGCATATCTGTCAAAACAAACAAGTGTGAATGTTTATTATAGGTTGAGGCTCGATATTTTGATGACTTTTTATCATGAATTTGTTATTATTTATTATTTATTTGAACACATGAATATTGGTACAAGAGAGCGCCAATATATATGCGCCACACAAAACAATGAGAATTCGAAGAAAAGTACAAAAAAAAACTAAGGAGCGCAGAGGAAAAAGAGAACAATAACGAAGAGATTGGTGTAAGGTAGTGTAATGATAATAATAGTAATAGTAGGGGAACAGAAGGGTACAATCAGAAGAAATCTTTCAGGTAAGGGAGACACAACCACTTTTTATGAAGAAAGTAAAAGAAGGTTACAGCAGGATCGCCACTGGCTTCTATTCTGAGCCATATCTGATAACGTTTCTAGCCACTGTGTAGCACCATCTCTCAGACCCCAACCAGGGAGTCGTGAAGGACCAACACAAGCCAGTCCTTTGCAGCTTTCTTTCATCCCACGACACCATGTCATGCACTGACCACCTCTCCGCTTCTTCCAACCAGTCCCAGAGTCGGCAAATAATGCACGACGTGGAATTCTCTGAGACGACATTCGGAGAACATGTCCAAGCCACCGAAGTCGGTGTTTCAAGATGGTGACACCAATTGAATTATCGTCTCTGTGCCCGAACACACGATGCCGAACCTCTGCATTACTGACATGGTGTTGCCATTGAATGCCAGCAATCCTTCGGAGACAGCGGTGATCGAACACAGAGAGTCGTCTAACGTCCTCAACTCGGAGAGACCAGGTTTCACAAGCATAGAGCAGAACTGCTCTCACCGACGCGTTGTAAATCCGACCTTTTACAGCCAGACTAACATCACGAAGGCGCCAAAGGTGGCTCAGATAGGAATAAGCCACTCTGGCTTTCACTATTCGTGCATTGATCTCATCACTCACACCCCCACCAGCACTTATGCAGCTACCCAGATACACGAACATCTCGACTACTTCTATCTGCTCACCATCCAGGGTGAGTACAGGATTGGAATCCTGCCAGTCTTGTAGAAGTACTTTGCACTTCGAAGGTGCAAAGCACATAGCATACCTACGGACACTGATTGCCAACTGATTAAGTGCGGATTGCATGCCTTGGGCATTATCGCACAGTAAGACAATATCGTCCGCATACTCAAGGTCGAGAAGTCTTTCTCCAGGCAACAGATCCACACCACCATTACTTACATTCATCAGAGCTGTTTCCAGAATGTCATCGATGGCAAAGTTGAAGAGGAATGGTGAGATTGGGCAACCCTGCCTAACCCCACTGCTCGAATGGAACAATGGAGAGAGGTGGTTGTATGCCCTCACTCTCCCTGAGGTGTTTGTATATAGGGCTTTTAGGATGTTAATAAACTTCTCAGGCACACCCTTCTTCAATAGACAATCCCAGAGAACAGTCCTGTCCAACGAATCGAAGGCAGCCCTGATGTCAAGAAACACTACGATTGTTGGCCTTTGATAAGTATGGCGGTGTTCTAACATTTGGCGGAGGGTGAAGATATGATCAATACATCCTCGACCAGAACGAAACCCAGCCTGCTCCTCGCGAGTCAATCTTTCTCAGGTTTTGAACAACCTACGAAGAACGACGGAAGCCAATAGCTTGGACGCAATCGGAAGTAGACTTATCCCCCGATAGTTGTTACAGGAACGACGTGAACCCTTTTAAAAGATAGGGACAACTATCGACTCATTCCATGGCGTTGGTACACTCTCTAGTTCCCAAACCTTTGTAAACAACGTCGTCAATTCCTTAGTCAAAAAGTCACCACCATCTTTAAAAAGAACCGGAGGTAAGTCATCTGGGCCAGGTGATTTGTAACGATTCAAGAGTTGGAGTTCCTTGCGGACTTCCTCCTCATTTGGTGGATCAGTCGTCACCGGCCATGGAGGGCAGGACAGTCTGACCGATGTTGCCGGAGCAGCAGGCCAGTTGAACTGCCCTTCGAAAAATTCTGCCCACCGTCTAAGACGTCGATGGATGTTAGTGATTGGCATCCCATCATCCTCGCAGATTGTTTCACTCACACCAGACTTCTTGCTGCCAGTGGCTCGGATGAGCTGGAAGAGCTTCCGGTAGTTACCAGATGCAGCTGCCGCTTCCAGCTCATTAGCACGCTTCGACCACCAGGCTTCTCGGTCCTTACGCAAGCTTTGCCCAATTTCATTGCGTAACATCCTTCGTTTATGGTCAAACTCACGGTCACCCGGAGTAGACCGACGGGCTTCAATGAGTTGTAAGAAACCTGCAGAAACCCAGTGCTTAAAAGCGGGACGTTTCGCAAACCCATAACTGACCGCCCCACCTAGTTCGGTTTGTGGTCAGGTAGTATTACTAGCTATCATACGACAAAATCGTGGTTAAGAACAGAATGCATAAACCTGTACATGATAAGTTAATTATTTATATTACTATTATAACTATATTTGGAATCTGCACTTAAATGGTGTATTTTTGCATATACACACAAGGATTACACAGAAAACGTTTTTACTATTAATTTATGAGAATTGGATATTTGTAACATTTATGGCTTAAATACTGTCAACCTTTCTATCGCGTTGATTTTCCGCTGTCAACTGGGGACGTTTAGAGTGATCCAACCACCATCTTATCTCAACATAGTGCACGCAATGTTGAGTCACCTAGACTAGTGGCCACATATCAACTTGGTCGATAGGATTCGATCTGTACTAAGGACCTCACATACATGATATTGATCATCACCCAGTGATCGATCAATTGTAAGTGATCCAATATCTTTGGAGACTATGTTGTTTTTGTTTACTACTTAAATGGGTGATTCTACTTATTAAGAAACTGGATTCCCAAAGTTAATAGTCAGACGAATAACGATCTAACAGGTAATACATTTTTTCATTACAGAACAGCCGTCCTGATTTCTTCCGATTCTATTTTTATACCTTTATGATGAGAGCAATTTTTAGATTACTTACATTTCTAAAGAGCAAATACAAATCTGATTGCTAAATCAATATTCATCAATAAATACCTATTTTCAATCAACCAATGTCATATTAAGTCAACTAGATTAAAAGTCATAGTAATTGAGTTAGGGTCAATGCTACTACTTGTTTGTGTATATTTTATTACGAATAGCAGAGTTTGAACATTTGACTTACAAATTGAGAGAACCTACTAAGAGATAATTAGTTCTAAATATTACATTAGTGATCAGTGGGGTGGCTCAGTGAATACATTCTAACCATGACACACAGATTGAAATATACATACCTGTCCACAGTAATTCAAGTTTAACAGCAATAAACCATGGCAGTGACGTGCTAATTGTTCCACACCACGACTTGTTATCTCTTGACAACCTATAGCACGAAATCTTTGTAAACTTTTACATCCTCTGGCGATAGCGGTTAGCCCACGATCTCCAACACTACACCATGACACATCCAAACATGTTAGATTTGAACACCAGCTAGTGTGTGGAAAACCGAGATTTAAACAGACAGAACGGAATCTCAACAAATTTCAAATACAATTTATTTTGAAATGAAATGCGTTAGGTTATACCGTACATTTCTAGGTTATTCAAATGTATGAAGGTGTGGGAGTCTAGATTCTAGTTCAAGTGAAATCCAATTGTTTCAATGACTTCAGGAAATTTGGATACCCACAGTCAATAAAACAACAAACAAATCGAGACTGTGGTTGGATGATTCACAGAAACACTCCTTGACTTTAGTTTGAAATTGGAATTCATTGATGGAAGCAAACATAAAAACTATCATAACATGGAAGATACTAGTGTTCTACAGCTAATTAGCGAAAACCTGAAATTGGATATCTGTCTGGTAGGTTGTGTTGGTGGCTTGAAGAAAATTAAACATTATTAAGAATGTGACATACCCGACTGAGAGATAATGATACAGAAACCTCTACATATACATCCATAGATGTACCAAGTCAGTCAGTCAGTCAGTAACAACGTAGAACTTCGTACGTACGTACATCAGTTCGAGTTGCCACACCACATTAGCACAGAGATGCACTTGTCGATTCAAATCCCGTAGTGATAGAGGTAATAAGAGTATAAGCAGTAATCGGGAAGATTAGGGTTTGGAGATGTTATTTAAAGAGTATAATCCAGTAAAATAAATTTGGAAAGAGGAAAAAAGGGACATGAAGAATTCAGAAGATTAGAGTTTGGGAGAACACAGAGAGTGGATGCACCTGCGCCATTGCAAACGATTTTGAGCCATGTCATTCAGGGTCTCTAACCATCGGTTGCTGTCATCTCGCGGTCCCCAACCAGGTAGTCTACACCTACCAACATGACTCAGTTCACTTGTCAGTGACTTCATGGACTTGTGCCATGTTTTGGTTTGGCCGCCCCTAGCTTTCTTCCAACCTATTCCTATACCACTGAACATAGCACGTCGAGGCAGTCGGTCGTTGGGCATACGTAACACGTGTCCCAGCCATCTCAACTGATGAAGTTTCACTACGTCATCAATTGATTTGCCATCCTTACCTAGTACCCGTTTCCTAACAACTGTGTTACTTACTCGATGGTCCCATGATATACGAGCAATGTTTCGAAGACACCTATGATCAAATACTAGTAACCTACGGATATCCTCTACTCTTACCGGCCATGTTTCACTGCCATAAAGTAGGACGGGACGAACTGCTGCGCAGTAAACACGTCCTTTGGTTCATAGACGGATATCTCGCCTACGCCATAAATGACGCAAGCTGGTAAAAGCTAGTCGAGCCTTCGGTATCCGTGCTGAGATTTCGTCACACACCAAACCACAAGGGCTGATGAGACTTCCAAGATAAGTGAAGCGGTCGACACACTCAACTACTTCACTCCCTATCAATAGTTCGGGTGTCGATGTAACCCAATCCTGAAGCAACATTTTGCATTTCGAGGGAGAGAATCGCATCCCGAACATGCTTGCATTGTTGCTTAGAGTGGTCAGAAGAATCTGTATTTTGTCAGTGTCTTCACCAAATAGAACTATGTCATCGGCATATTCCAAGTCAACAAGTGAATCTCCTGGTAGAGGTTCAAGCCCTGGAAATTTAGATGAGGAAAGTGTTATCTCTAAAAGTACATCAATGACAAAGTTAAACAAGAATGAAAAGAGTGGACAGCCCTGACGAACACCACTTGAGGTGATCAATTCTGATGACAGTTCGCCATAAGCTCTCACTCTACCAGTTGTGTTCGAGTAGAGAGCCTTTATAAGGTTAATGTACTTCTCTGGTACTCCTTTCAGTGACAAACACTGCCATAGAACCTCACGATCAACGGAGTCGAATGCCGCCTTAAGGTCGAGAAATACTACCATTGTGGGGCGTCTGAATGTGTGTCTGTGTTCTAGGACCTGACGTAGTGTGAATATCTGATCGATACAACCACGTCCAGGTCGAAAACCAGCCTGGTTTTCTCTAGTCTGCTCTTCACGAGCTTTAGTTAGGCGTCGAAGTATTATTGAGGCTAATATTTTAGACACTATATTAGTCAAACTGATTCCTCTGTGATTGTCACAAGAGGACTTTTGTCCTTTCTTAAAAACTGGCACAATCAGTGATTGAGACCAGTCAGATGGGATTACGTCCAGTTCCCAAATTCTACCTAAGACCTCAGTTAATCTCATTGCTAATACTGGACCACCATCCTTAAAAATCTCAGGAGTAAACCTGTCAGGGCCTGCTGCTCTCCCTCGTTTCAGATTTCCTATGGCTTTTTCAACTTCGTAAAGGGACGGAGGACCTACATTAACTTGCCATTCAGGTTGACTGGAGATCGTGGGAAACCGAAGTGTGGCTGAAGGCCAGTTGAACTGATCCCTAAAGTGTTCTGCCCATCGATCCAATCTCCTGGATTGAGAATGAATAATATGTCCATCTTTCTCTGAGATTGTTTCGCTAACGGTCGGGTTCCTAATTCCGGTTTCCTTAACGAGTCTAAACAATTGTCTGCTATTACCTATTGCCGCTGCCTTTTCCATCTCTCTTGCTTTCGCTACCCATCACTGTTCGCGATCATTGCGTAGACTTCTTGTCAGCTTGCGCTTAAGCTGACTCCGCTCTTCATTATGTTCAGAGCCAGGTGGAATGAGTTTTCGAGCATCTATCAGTGAGATAGATGCTGCTGAGATCCAGTGTTGCTCCCTAACCTTGTGGTTTACCTTACTAGCAGATATCACTGCTGTTTCCACAGCTTTTCGGATATCATTCCATGCTGTCTCGGGGTGGGCATCGCATACATGGCTGCCTAACTGTTTTCCTAGTTGTTCCTGAAATATATTCTTAGCTTGACTATCATTAAGTAGAGCCCTAGGAGGTTTCCTTGCAGGATCTTTCCTACGTCCAGTAAGACGCAAGCAAATACGCGCTCGCACTAGAGCATGATCTGAATCTAGGCATGTGCTCCAGAATGAGCGACAGTCTTCTATCGAGCCCCTCCATCGGTGGCTGATAGCGATGTGATCTATTTGGGTCCAACGTTGGGATGAATTAGGGGGTCGCCATGTTAAAAGATGTTTTTCCTTATGCTTAAAGTTAGTATTTGCAAGGAACAGGCGGTTATCTGAGCATAGCTGCAACAGACGGTCGCCATTATCTGTTCTTTGAGCCACGACACCATAGGATCCACCTAGGTGTCTTTCCTCATCGCTTAGTTTACCTACTTGAGCATTAAAGTCACCGGCCACTATTACTACATCCGAGCGCTTAGCTTTTCGGAGAAGGTCCGAAAGCTTTCTGTAAAACTCATCTTTTACATCATCTGAGCTGCAGTCAGTGGGAGAATAGGCAGAGATGACGAAGAGGCAACGACGAGTGTCCCTATCTTTCCGGATTCTTACTGTTCCGTTCAGTCGGACAGCGCACAAACGACTGTCTACTGGGATCCACTCTAAGAGAGCTAGTTCTGCCCTAGGACTCAATGCTACACCTACACCGGCGAGGCCACGGGAAGCAGAATCAGGGCTTCCAGATACACGAAGCGTAAGTCGAGTCGGTTCTTTATTTTGGCATGGTGAGGTCAAATGAATGACGCTACTTGGATCCTGTATGCGCGTTTCGGAGACGCAGCACACATCGATGGCGCGAGATTCTAAAGTTTTAGCTAAGGAAGCCTGCTGTCCTATTTGGCAAAGTGTTCGTACGTTAAAAGCTCCTACGTGTAGTTTAGAGCGTGGTTTCAGGAGACCAGGAATGGCGTTCCACGTACTCGAACCGTTTGCCCTAGCGGTGCGAGGTGATAAAGAGACGTGAGGAGGGTTAGTCGGGAGGATAAGAGAGGTATTAGGAGGTGTAGGAAGAATTTGAATGTGACCAACTTTGTCTCGTGTGCTGTTACGGGTATGAGGGCTGATGTCACTTCCCGGCTGCCCACACCGTGGAAGGGTATTTCTTGATGAACCTGAAAAGGAAATTGGATTAGTGCTGGTCTTGACGACCTGGGAGCGTGACCGCAGAGCCCAAGGGACAACTGCTTGAGGCCGGTCGCGCACGGCCTTTGTGTGTAAGGTTTTTGACGTGTTAGCTCCGTTCTTCAAGGGGCCTTACCGCCGGAGACGGAAATCCGTGAGGTAAGGTGAGGTGTGCATTTTTAGGGTCGACCTTTTCTAACCCCACCCCTCCTTGTGGGAAGGCAGCATCGCTGTCATGTTGGTTGTCCGAGGGAAACACCTTACTGCTGTCACACCTCTCTACAGTCAGCAGTACGACTTCGCCCTCAGACCTTGAGTTGCTGCTTTTAGTCTTACCGTTCGCCAATCGACCTGCCTGGCATGGTAGAACCTGCAGGAACATATGTTCCAGCCAATATAGCTCGGTTGGGTCATCACGATAGGCAAGCCCGACCACCGCGTCAAGGTAGCAGCTTCGATCGGGATAGATGTACCAAACCTAGAAAGATATAATATAGCTAATGTAGCTGTAAATACCTACAGTTCCTATTCTAATAATTTTATGGTGGACCTATTCTAGGGTTAAACAACGTTATAACAAAAATGAATTTACTACGGTTTACAATAATTAGCTACCAGTACTACTACATAGTTTTAACAGAATTACATATAAATTCCATAGTGAGATAAGTAAACAGAAAATTATGTAAAGGTACATATTAGTTCATGCTGACGTATTCTGCAATAATATAGTGAAAATACTAAAATGATCAGAAGCGTAAATATTATGAAATAAGCAAGATTTTCAATACTTCAAGGACCATTAAATGTAGACCAATTGTCACATTGTACGCAATCATTTTTCAACTTAGATTCAGATATTATTGGTAGGCGATGTTTCAGCATGTGTAACCTCCACAGTCAACTGAGACCCGAATAATATTGTGCAAAACCAAAGACATTAGTTTCGTGCGACTAGGTAATGAATATATTTTCCTTTCTTAAGATAAATTAAATACCCAGTAACCCAAAGCAATTACTAGTGAATATATTGATAGCTTTTGAGATTGCCTCATCCACCAATGAACTGATTTAAGAAAAAAACGTTCACCTGACACAAAGACTGATTAATCGACTTCGTTACTATGACGGTTGGTGCACTAAGATGTAAACTGCATGTAGAAACAATAAGAATGATTATCCGAGTGAACAAAAGGGGAATCGTTAGGAGTTTCGGACACTTGACCATACACAGTAAAATAAAATAAAAGTGATGGGATAATCAATTAACGGCAAGAGGTTTATTGGGTCATTAATCACTCAATGCAATAAAACCTGGTGTAATAGTAGGTACCATGACATGGAAAGGAAAATTTGTAAACGATATGCAGAAACAATGAGTGCATGACGGAAAAAATATTTACTGACTAATGAGAAAATTTTTAATACACTTACCTTAGCATTTCTAATCCAGCATCATCTATACGAGAGCAACTTTCCAGGGACAAAGTAGTCAGAAGAGAACAATTTTTCCCTAAATAATCGCAAGTTCCATTCGTCAAGTTTTGACATCCCGATAAGTCCAAACTTTCAATCATATGACAAAGTTCAGTAAAACATCTATAACAAGAAGACAAGAAGGTTAGTCACCAGATGGTGCTCGTTAAAAAAGTCTTTATGAACATGACGTATCTTGCTTTGTTTTTGACAGACTTAATAGAGGTGTGTGTAAACTTTCAACTAAAGAGAACAAACGAAACCAGTCATCCGTCGAACTACAATAACCAGCCACAAGAATGACTGATGTAATACAGAGTTAACAGTAGTCTAGTAGGAAATTTTGTAGCAGGATTTAAAATACTAGGTGAGGACAATCACTAAATAGTCACCTGTCTGCTTATAACCTTTACGAGTTGACTAAAAACTGCATGTAAAAGTACTCCGCTTTGATAAAGGATGTGCTGAGGAATGTCAATGGAGAGATGACGTACAATAGCTCTTTCACCTTACAAATAAACAACCTTTTTTCCATATAACCGTCACTGTGCAATTTTGACCAGATTTCGGGGAAGAAGGTTGTCCAACGTCGATCGTTTTACTGTTTTCTATAGACTGAATCAGGTGTTGATTCTGAGTGCGACAAATATCGAAAACTGGTAGAAGGAAAGCCGATCCTTACACCTAGCCAAGCTTTTTCATCAATATTCTGAATATAATACCTTAAGACTCGATGGACACAACAGATATTTTAAGTAGACACTGACCCTTCAAATAATGGAATCCTAGTATTTACAAATTAAAATGGCCAAACCCCATATAAATTATAGATGGAATAACCAAGAGAACGGACTTTTATCTAAAAGTTCATAAAACCCCTATCAGTTAATTTTGATACAGGACAACGACTAACCATTTGAACGATGTGAATAAAATATCAACAAACTAGTTTTTCTCTACAATGTTTATAATGTACACAGACAATCATTCAATTGAAAGTGTACTTAAGACAAGTGTATGAAAAATCAATAACAACATAGGAAGTTAACATATAAGCAGTACAATTCGTGGGCAAAGATAAAATATCAATCGGACTCACTTTAGAGCCTCATCAGTAACATTTCGGCAGCCTTTCAACCTCAACTCACGGAGGAAGCCGCGACTTCTCTGAGCGATTTTTTCAACTACTTTGGGCTATTTATGTTGAGTTAGTTGGACGATAGAAATTACCTGCACATATCGCTGGAAGTCAAATAAATTAATACTCTTCCAGTTGCTCCCATCAAAAGCACATTCATACCAAAACTATCAAAAGGCTGGTGAAAGAAAGGCAGCTTACTTTACAAACTTGAGAGCATTTGCATAGAGTAGTGATATCTAAGTAAGAAAAAACCCTGGATTCAGATTTAGAAAGTTGGCAATCCTACTCACCTGATGATTAACTCTTTCGGTAAACTATCGTTGATGCACACATCGCTTTTGTGGTATGAATTAGTCTGCAGGGCAGTGATATATATACATGGATGAACTTACCTTTCCATTAGCCACGACCGAACCATTAGTATTAAAATAATTAGAAAAGTTTTCCATTTTAGATAACTTTAATATCTACAATACCACACAACGCGAGGACCCCATTGTGAAGCTTTATCGGAAGGTGTTTATAGGATAGAAAACTGCATATCAGTCAGATTATTATTGGTCCTGGTAACAAGTGAAATACCATACTTCAAGCCAATCAGCTGACTAGATGCTTTGAAACCCCAACAAAGAGTACGGTAAAACACATGATGTTCAATAACCCTTAATACAGTCTTTTCTGTTTAGCTTGAACCTAATGGGTTTTACTTTATTTCAAACACCATCATGCTGTATCTTCTTGTCTGTGCAGCTATTTGACTGTTCAAACGGTCTACCATACTGTCCGGAATTTCCATGTGCATACATTAGTTGATGCAATGATAGTTAAGAGGGATATCGGCCTCGTGGTTTCCGAAAAATTTCATCGTTCACCATGAAGTGACATATTTCTTTTAAATGGAGATCCTTCAACTCTAAGATAGAGTCCAAATGGTCTGTATTGTCTTTTTCTGGCTGGCTTTTTCAGCAAGGTTGGCTTATACGGGATGGAGTTGCTGATTTCATGCCCAAACCTCCTTCTGTATCCCGGCCTCGAACAGCCAGTAAACCTAGAAGGGATTGAGGCGGAATGTGGTGGGTGGCAATGGAGCCAATGAAGACAGCGATTCCCCTTTGACAAACCAAGCACTTTTTCGTATCATTATGTACCATGGTTCAGAATTATGTATAGGGGTAATATAATTACTATATAGTAATAATTAATAATAATGATAGTTCTAGCCTGATTGTAGATGAGATGAAAGATAGTTTAAACGGGAAATATAAACCCAGAAAATTAGGGAAGAATGAATAGTAAAAGCAAAATCTAATCGGGATGATCGTGGCGTTGAACTACATAGTTTTAAGGATTCTTATCGAATCAGTTTGTCTGACCGATCAGAAAGAAAATTACATAATACCGAAAGTCGTTTCGACAGTAAGGTTGATGGTGTTTATCACCGTAAAAGCCATTATGAGTGATGGCTGGAGGTCGTGGTAATGTAGTGGAGGAGAACACAGGTGAGGACAACTGAATTATTTAGCGCAAAATTACAGAGTTACTTGGTAAAATAGAAAAACCATACTATAATACTTAATTCGCAAAATGTTCAGTAATTGTCTCGGACTTCATTGTTCTTGCATTTCCATACTAATTGTTTTCTACTCCCGTTCTTCCTTTCTTGATCTTCCCAATCTTCTGCTGCCAGACATTACATTCCTAACTCAAATGGTTCAAATGGTCCAAATGGTTGTGGACGGAATAGAAGAAGCTTTCGCTTGACAGGCTTCCGTGTCTAGTAGCAGGGGATCACCAAATCCTCCAGGCAGGAACCTAGGTATGTTAACAATAAAAAAGGAAAAGAAATTGGTAAATCATGTGATGCTGTCCTTGGTCCTTAAGAATAGGTCAAGTTGCCTCTTGAAGGACTCCTGAGAAGTCGCTTGGACTAGCTCGGCCGGCAGCGAATTCCAGCTTTTGACAACTCTTAAGGAGTAGAAGTTGTGTCTACATTCCGTCTTGCTATGTTGTGTTTCCAGTTTCTGGGTGTTACCCCTTAGGTTATTATTCGAACTAAGCTTAAGTAGGTGTTTAAGAGGATGTCCAGAAGTGTTAAGAATGCTATAAGCCATTAGTAAATCACCTCTAAGACGCCTATATTCTAGTGGGTAAAGGTCTAGTGAACGGAGGCGTTCTTCGTAAGGCTTAGATTTGAGTCCTCGAACTGATTTCGTGGCTCGCCGTTGGATACGCTCCAAAGTGACCTTGTCCTTTTGGAGTGAGGGGGGGAGTACTATGTTTCCGTACTCTAAATGGGGACGGATGAAACTATTGAAGATTGTATGGAAAGTTCGTCCGTCAAACTGTCCAAAAATGCGCTTCAACGTTACCAGTGCAAGGTTTGCTCGGAAGGCATTTTTGTCACAGTTAGCGTAAGACTTTAAGTCATGGAGCATCAGGACTCCTAAATCTTTTTCGACTTGGGATACTACTAGAGAGGAGTTTCCTAAGTTGTAACTGTAGTTTGCGACATGTCGCAGATGGACTACTTTACACTTTGAAGTGTTAAAGGTAAGTCCGTTATCGTCTGCCCAACTTTGAAGTCGCGTCAGATCCTCCTGAAGTGCCTGTGTATCGACTTGGTTGCGTATCTCTCTCCAAAGTTTCACGTCGTCGGCAAAAAGTAGTAAGTCTGACGTTACCTGTTGAGGAAGATCATTTATCTAGATCAAGAAGAGAAGAGGCCCTAGTACTGAGCCCTGGGGAACCCCACTAGGACATTCCATAGCCTGAGATAGAGTGAAATTAACCCTAACCTTAAAGTGTCGATTTTTTAGGTATGAAGTAAGCCAATCGATTAGAGGTGGTTTGATACCTAGTCGTTTGAGCTTGTTGATAAGACACAAGTGGTTAACCTTATCAAAAGCTTTTGAGAAATCAAGGTAAATGACGTCAACCTTTCCCTTGCAATCGAGGATGCTTGTCCATTTGTCCACCGCAGTCAGCAGGTTAGGACATGCACTTGACAAATAAACCGCTTCAGCCATTAATAAGCCTGACTGCAGTATTTCCTTACGGTGGTCGATTATTGGCGAAACTCATGGCTAATAAAACATACACCCTTGTAAGGTGTAAAACAGCTCGGTTCCTAGGTAACTGCAAAAAACATAATAATAACATAGTCTTACCAAGATACGCATATTAACATCAAGTCAACGAAATAGTAAATCTATAAGATGCTGATTATGTCGCTGACCCTAAGAAACCTATTCGATTCTAGGACTTATTATTTACGATGATATTTTCGGAATCTCACGTTTTTATTTTCCTGGTCAGTGGACACTTTCTGTATCCGCGTTCACGACACAAGTTATTAAAGGCGGTTATCACAGACTGAAGATCATACATTTGGTCAAGATTGGTGATGAGTCCAACTTCTGGCAGCTTCACATACATATTTGTTAAGGTAAGCAACTTTCCGTTTCAACACATTTTCGTGCTCAAGATGTCTACGCTGTGTTTACTTCAATCTGGACTACCAATACTTTCTGTAAAGGAAACACCTATGTGGAATCGAACACCCGTCACTCATAACTGTACATTCATTTTTTGTACCTGATTAATTTTCACTAAAACTGGAACGATTCTTCAGGTTTAACTGGCTTTAATTATTTTCTTCCTTAAAGTTGATTCTTTATTTTCAACTTTAGGGCAGCTGAAAAGGCAGATGAGTAGACACCTGATAGCCGAACATAGCACTGGAAAATCGTACCTCTCCAACATGGTGTTGGGTGACCCGCTAGCAGCCTCCCTTAGGTATTTTTGTTTCATTTGCTTACCCTCCGTTCTCTTACAAGCTCTGACACAAAGGACATGTTCATTAAGTCATGAGCGACGAATAGTAGAAGGTGAATGCTACGAGATAGGACAAAAACCTAATAAGGTATGTGATATTCATGAAGTAACTCCGAATTCTGACCGGGCGTTGAGATCATCGATTGAAAGTCAAACACTAAACGAGTTAGTAATTCTCCTCTATGCTGAAGAAACCGAAATGATATGTTATTGATCTATAAGTTGGTCGAACCGACACTCCTAAGGAAGTCGATTCTAGGAGGAAGCTGATGTAACAACTTAAGCTGACTGACTAGTAGTTGGCCGCAAACATCTTAGTAATGTCTAGACATTATAGCTCAAATATTTTGAACAGGCATTATATTTCCTACTATTTTATATTGCATGTTGAAAGGCCGTTTAGAAAAATAACCCGCGTTTCAACTGTTCTGTTCAACAATCTAATTAAACACCTATCAATTACTAGTCTGGTTTCTTCTATCGATAGAACGTTGAGTGAGAACTATAGAGATATCACACTACTATCAATGCCAGGAAAACTTTTCAGTAGAGTATTGTTGAACCGGATGAAAGATCTGATAGACGCTCAGCTTTGCATTCAGCTGACCGAATTCCGTAGGGGCCGATCGTACACAGACCAAATCACGACATTACGAATCATTTTTGAGGAATCAGTTGAGTGAAGTGTGTCACCACATATCAGCTTCCTAGACTTAGAGAGAGCACATGAAAAGTTGGCGCTATGGTTTATCTGAGAAGATCGTCAACATCATCAGGAATTCATATGACGGAATGTACTGCGAAGTTGTGCGTGGAGGATAGCTGGCGGATAGATTGCAAGTGAGGGCCGGAGTCAGACAAGGCTGCTTACTCTTATCCTTTCCTTTTTTCCGGCGGCTGACAGGATTATGAAGACCTGTAGATCTGATGGGAAGCAGGGAATAAAATGGACATATTGGATGCAACTAGACGACTCGAACTTCACAGGTGACCTGGCCATCCTATTCTATATACACTAAAACATGCAGGCCGAGACCACTGAAGCAGCAGCCTCTGCACCAGTAGGCCCCAACATACACAAGGGAAAAAGCAAGATCCTCAAATACAACACTGAAAGCACCAACCCAATCACACTTGATGGAGAATCTCTGGAAGAGATGGAAACTTTCACGTATCTGGACGGCATCATCGATGAACAAGGAGGATCTGATGCAGATGTGAGGGCGAGGACAGCATTTGTCAAGTCGAAGAACATATGGAATTCAAAACAACCGACAACCAATATCCAAGTCACAATCTTCAATATGAACGTCAAAACAGTTCTACTGTGCGAAACTGAAACCTGGATAACAACCTTATAACCATCTTCAGAAACGTACTAGTATTTCTAAACAGTTGTCTACACAGGATACTTGATGTCCGTTGGTCGGATAGCATTAGCAACAGCATACTATGGGAGAGGACACACCAGCTTCCAATTGAAGAGGAAATTAAGAAAACACGTTGGAAGTGGATAGGACACACATTTAGGAAATCATCAAACTGCATGAAGAGGTGAGCGCTGACTTGGAATCCTGAAGGGAAACAGAGAAGACCAAGGAACATATTGTACCGA